TTTTTCCGATTGTATTTGTTCGAAACGAAAAAAAAAAAAGAAAGAAAAGAAAGAAAAGAAATTTGATTTTAGTTTGACATTTTGTTGTATTCAGAAGCTAGACTAATGATTTAAAAAGGCTATGTCAATGCATTATCAGTGTAATCATTGACGAATGTATACGTGTAATTTTTTTTTTTTTTTTTTGAAGTTATTAACTATTTTACGTGCAATTTTTATACGTATAATTTTATACGTGTAATATATACGTGTAATTTATTTATTTTTTTTTAAAGTTATTAATTACTTTATAAAACGTCTTACTTGTTGTTATGATATGAAACTTAAATAGAGCTATCTTCAACTACTTTATGATTAAATTTTATAATTAAATTGTAATTTTTTAAATTAAATTCCGCACGATATGTTAATCTAATAATTGTCAATTTTTTGCTATTCATACTTTTTTTGTCAATGCAATTTAAACGAAAAATAGCAATTTTATATTTATTTAAATAATTTTACATTTATTCTGGCATTTTTCACGCTTATTTATTTCAATTAACATTTCTGGGTGAAGATATAATATGGCAGCTACTGTTAACAAAATGATAAACGTCTGATAATTAACTGATAAGCAAGTTAACTAATTTAGTTGTTAATTTATAAAGCCTTAAATACTTTTAATGACTTAATTAATATATTGAATAAACAATTTTAATAATGAGCAGTTTTTCTCCCATCCTTTTTTTGTGTCTTTTTCCGACTGGAATCCGGCTAGAAAATTTATGATCAGGATGAAATTTCCGATATTTCACACATGAATGATATAGGATAATCTTTTGCATCACATCATGTACGTTCATCATTTTCAATCTTTTTACCAGCATTGGTATTTTATTTCAATTTTCTAGTTGGGATTTAAAAAAAAAAACAAAAACAAAAAGTAAGAAAGAATAATGAATAAGCAAATCGGAACTTTTTATATTTTCAGCATTTCCGATTCGATTATCATATCCAGGATTTAATTCGCTAATATTATGATAGGAAAAAGTAATGAAATTTTTAATGAGATTAAAAAAAAAGTGATGAGATTTTCTACAGATTAATTAAAACGAAATCAATAACTTGAATAAAATTGTTGATCTTTTCATGGTAACATTTCTCACCGTATTTGTCATTTAGTTTTAAAATTTAAATCCAATCCAACATCTTGCATAAAATTGAAATTAATTTTATATAAAATAGCGCTAAAAAGTTTAGTTACTCCTTTGTTAATTAGCATCATTCGTCACATTTGTTAATTACGATATTTGTTAGTTACGAGAATTATGTTTACACTATGAAATATTGAAATATTTTAAGTTATTTAGTTTTATATATCTAGTAGTTTTCAAGTTTATGTATCGCAACTTTTATGTTAATCAATTTTTTAGGAAAATATATAATATTGAATTATTGATAATGTAAGTAATAAAAATTCCTCTAACAATTGATAATCATTATTTTGCTTAAATTACTCATTTACCTTAAACATTATTGATTTTTAACTTTCTTTCCTTCTATCAAAAATTGGTTTGTCTTTGTTAATTAGTGATTTTATTATCATCAAACAGTTAGAAGTTCAAAAAAATGGTTAGATCAAAAAAAAAAAAGAAAAAAAAGTGGAAATTTTTTCGGAAAAACTGATGAATTTATAAAATTGTTTTAAAAAAATATGCTTGGAATTTAAAATTTCGTCATTAATAAAATTTCTAAAATAATTTAAAAATGAATTACTTCTTCTGATTGATCATTGATCACCTATGATAAAATTATTTTACCATACCTGATTTTTAATATCAGTTTCTTATAATTAACATTTTCATGTACGTACACTAAGCTCATATTCGAAACTTTGACATTATTTTTATTTTGTTTGTTTTTTCTTTAAATAACTCTTTTTTATACTATGTCTTTTAAATTTTAATGTTTTTTAATTTTAATTTTATATTAAACAAATTTTAAGAGTTCTTTAGTATTTTAGTATTCCAGTATTGCCATCTATCAAATGTATCCAATTTATATTTAAATGATTTATTTGAGATATTTTTAATCCATTAAAATTTCATTTATCATTGTTTTTCTTTTATCAGAAAATCGAATATTACTGATAATTTACCAATTTATCCAAAATTATTCACTAATTTTGTTTCGTCTAAATATGCAAAAGTTGAATACAATTGGAGTGTGATAAATATATTCAAAACAAAATGTTGATGAAAATATTTCATCAACATTTTCATCAAATCAATTCATTTAATTAATCAACAAATGTTATTCTAACAAATAAACAAAATTAATTGGACTGATAATGAGATAAAGCTATAATTTGATAATTTATGAGTAATTATTTTGCAGCATTTGATTATACTAATGTTTACAGTATAATAAAGATAAATGGATGCTGAGTATGGTTGATGATAATAATTATTAAAACATGAAATTTCGTTTAATTTTGTCATTATCATGATAATAATCATTTAAGCAGTAATATGGAAAATTTTTAATCGTTGGTTCAATTATTTCTAGCATTTATTTATTGTTTGAGCATTTATTGTTTGCGAAAAACATTTATTATTGTTTTTGTATGTTAATGTTACCTTTTTTTTAACTGCGAAAATATTTATTTATTGTTTAAGCATTTATTGTTTGCGTAAAACATTTGTTATTATTTTTGCATGCTAATGTCACCTTTTTTTCTTTTTAACTGCGAAAGTATTTATTTATTGTTTGCATGCCTGTCTGCAAATGTTACTTTGTTACTTTTTTTTTGGAACATGGAAAAAGTTAAAGCAAATGGTTTGAAATGATAAAATTTGAAATATGAAAGAAAATTGTAATGAATTAATTTGAAATATGTAATGGAACTAGAAAGAATTTATTTGTGTTATAAGAGTAAATCACAGAGTGTATTGAGAGATTTTTGATTTAATTATGCATTTTTTTTATATTTTAACTTTCATTTTAACATTTTTTAAAAATTCAGAGAAAAATTATATCAGTAAGGAAACATTTCACTTTATGCTTATGAACTTTTCTTTTTTAGTTTATATTTTACACCTTGCAAAAGTTTGTTTTTTAAAATTTTAATTTCAATCTTTGATTTTTTCAAATGCAAGCAAAAAATTAATTAATTGAATAAATTACCCATATCAAAGATTAATTTATGATGCGTATATACCATGCAATCTTTGATCGTCTAATAGTTCGTCAATAATTTGGACGATACGATACGTTCTAAAATATGATTTATTTAAATATATCAAACTTTTGGTGGTTAAAAATTTGAGATGAAATTTGAAATATTTAAATCTAAAAAAATGAACATTTTCTGAATGCTTTTTAAATTACGAAATGAAAAATTATTTATGAAATTTAGTCTTCAAATGTAATTTTCCAAATTTTTTCTTGCAATTAACCCACTTCATATTTTGAATTAGACTTGAAAATTAGAATTAAATTCGATGTATGAATCAAATAATTCAGGAAGTTTCAAGAGTTTTCGATTTCTCAGACTAAATTTATTAAAGGTTTTTTTTAGCTTCAAAAATCTGCTATGTTTCATATTTTGACATATTTTAAAAGAAATCAATATATTTTTGATTTTTTATTAAGTCATAAAATTATTTATATATTGGTATGGAAACATAATCATTTTGACTCATTCTAACTTGATTCTTCTCTCGTAATTAGTTTAATTCGTACCTTACAAGTGAGTATTTCATTTCCAATGTAACACTTCTATTGTAAAGTATAGTTATTTTACTTTAATTCCTATTTTACGATTAATTTATTCTCTCCAAAATTCGTATTCCATTTCAAATATGATATTTTTATGGACAAGTCATTTTAATTGAATTCCTACTTTACAAAATACAGATATGCATTTCCAATATGACATTTCCATTAATAATAATTAATAATATCATTTTGTAATGATAAGCAAATAAACTTATCATTTCGCAATTAAACAAATACCTATCCTGAAATTGATTATCACTTGATTTATTTCAGGTAGCAACAGCAATGAATAGAATTGCTCTTTTTTTGCATTGACGATGATTGATGCATGCTGTCCGTTTTA